ATTTCCTGAATTAGTAACAGAGAAGCTAGTCTGAGGGCGTCTGGGGTGAGGGGGTGGCTTCAGCTGCCCAGGGAAAGACAGCAGGATCTGGGCTGGGAAGGGAGAGAGAGAGCTGTTGACAGGGTCACCTGCTCATTTTCAAGTTTCCCATCTGTCCCTGCTACCACCACCGTCCCCAGGGCGGCAGAGTGACCTTAACAGATAAATTGAACATTGCCTGCCCCCCGCCCTCCCTGCTCGCATTCTTCAGGCTCCCTCTGCACGGGATCAGGAGTTAAAAGTGGCCCAGGAACTGAATGGAAGGGCTTTGGAGAGTCAAGATTATCAGCGCTGGCCCTGGCCGGTGTGGCTCGGTTGGTTGGGTGTTGTCCCATGCACCGAAGGTTGCCAGTTCAATTCCCGGTCAGGGCACATGGTTGATTAGAAATTATGAGCGTGGAAATCCTTGCTTTGTTTCCAGTCTTAAGGGGAAAGCAATCAATACTTCATCACTAAGAATGATACTAGCTGTAGACTTTTTTGTAAATGCTCTTTATCACATTGAGGAGAACGTTGTCTGTTTTGTTTACTGATTCATACCTAATGTGTAGCATAATGCAGATAGGAAGCAAGTACTCAGTAAATGTTTGTTGAATGAAAGAATGAATGAGCCCTACCTGGTTTGGCTCAGTGAATAGAAGGGTTTTGGGTTCGAGTCCGGTCAAGAGTACATTCCTGGGTTGCGGGATTGATCCCCAGTAGGGGGCGTGCAAGAGGCAGCCGATCAATGATTCTCTCTCATCATTGATGTTTCTCTCTCTCTCTTTCCCTCTCCCTTCCTCTCTGAAATCAAGAAGAATATAAAATAAAATTTTTAGCCAAAACCGGTTTGGCTCAGTGGATAGAGCGTCGGCCTGCGGACTGAGGGGTCCCGGGTTCGATTCCGGTCGGGGGCATGTACCTGGGTTGCGGGCACATCCCCAGGAGGAGATGTGCAGGAGGCGGCTGATCGATGTTCCTCTTTCATCGATGTTTCTAGCTCTCTATCCCTCTCCCTTCCTCTCTGTAAAAAATCAATAAAATATATTTTAAAAAAATAAAAATAAAAAAATAAAATAAAATTTTTAAAAAGATTCATCTATATTTTTTTTTTAAAAAAAAAGGAATGCATGAGTTTAAGCTGCACGGCATGGTGGCTAGTAAGGCGGCATCGGGCTTATCTAAATAGCAGTGTGATTTAAGGCAATCGGTCTACCCTTTGTCTTCCTCCTCTGTAAAATGGGGGTAAGAATAGTGCATATCACAGCGTTAGTCCGAGGATTTAATAGGATTTAATGAGAGCACCATATAAAGCAAGAGTAGAGTCCGACACTTGTGCTCAGTAAACATTAACTTTTATTACCTCACTTCTCGGAACCTCGTTTTCCTCTGTAACAGAGAGAATATTCTAACCCTTAACTCCTAGAGTTACAATGAGGATTAAATGACATTATGCACATAGCGTGCCCAGCACAATTCCTGGCACACAAAACCACAAACCATTAGTGAATGTCCAGGTCCCCTACCTATTGAGTTGGGAGACATGGAGATGGTCAATCAAAAACTAAGTCCAGCTCAGCAGGTGTGGCTCAGTGGTTGAGCGTCGACCTATGAACCAGGAGGTTGCAGTTCAATTCCTGGTCAGGGCACGTGCCCGGGTTGTGGGCTCGATCTCCAGTGTGGGGTGTGCAGGAGGCAGCCGATCGATGAATCTCTCTCATCATTGATGTCTCTATCTCTCTCCTTTTCCCTTCCTCTCTGAAATCAATAAAAATATATATTTTTATTTTTATTTTTTTTAAATATATTTTATTGATTTTTTACAGAGAGGAAGGGAGAGAGATAGAGAGTTAGAAACATCGATGAGAGAGAAACATCGATCAGCTGCCTCCTGCACACTTCCTACTGGAGATGTGCCTGCAACCAAGGTACATGCCCTTGACTGGAATCGAACCCGGGACCCTTCAGTCTGCAGGCCGACGCTCCATCCACTGAGCCAAACCGGCTACGGCAAAAAATATTTTTTTTAAAAGAACTATGTTCATCGGAAGCTGATAGACTGATGGCAGAGACTGGTAAGTATAGTGATCATTATGACAGTGTAGTAAGGACTATGAAAATTAGTAAAGGAAAACCTAAGTAAAATTAAGTTGGGAGGCCAGAAGGGGGAGCTCTCACACAGTATCACTTAATGTCAATTACAGGAAGAATGGTCAATTACAGACAGGACCAAGCAGGGAAAAAAAGTCAACAGGAAAGAATCATCTATATATATATATCTACACTAATAAAAGAGAAAAATGGTAATTGGCGTACGACTGCTACCCTTCCCATTGGCTAATCAGCATATCCTTATGCAAATTAACTGTCAGCCAAGATGGCGGCCGGCAGCCAGGCAGCTGGAAGCGAACATGAGGCTTGCTTGCTCCCGTGACTGCAGACTGCAACGTTCCCTGCCTGACTTGCCGGCCTCTGAGCTGGCAGTTTGAAACATTCTAACAAATATAGCCGGCTGGGATCTCAGAGCTGAAGTTATACATTGTTTCGATTATAGAACGGCAAACAAACCAGCGGAAGCCTCAGAGCTAGAGCCAGAGCTAAAGCTGGCCCAGAAGAAAAAAAAAAAAAAAGAAAAAAAGGAGCGGTTGGGAGCTTCAATCAACAACCGCCAGCCTGAAAGCAGCCCTCAGCCCCTCACCCAGACTGGCCAGACACCCCAGTGGGGACCCCCACCCTGAAGGGTGTGTGACGAGCTGCAAACAGCCATCATCCCCTCATCCAGGCTGGCCAGGCACCCCAGTGGGGACCCCCACCCTGATCCAGGACACCCTTCAGGGCAACCCAGCCGGCCCCCAGGCCTCTATCCTATATAGTAAAAGGGTAATATGCCTCCCAGCACCGGGATCAGCATGACAGGGTGCAGCGCCCAAACCCCCTGATCGCCCTGCGCTCTGTGTGTGACAGGTGTGGTGCCCCAACCCCCTGATCGGCCCTGCCCTGTGTGTGACAGGTGTGGCGCCCCACCCCCTGATCAGCCCTGCTCTGTGCCTGATAGGGGGGAGCCTCCCCCAACCCCCTGATTCCCCTGCGGCTCTGTGTGTGACAGGGTGCAGCCGCCCCCAACCCCTGATCGGCCCTGCTCTGTGGGTGATAGAGGGTGGCGCCCCACCGCCCCCCCCCCCCACGGGCCCTGCTCTGTGTGTGATGGGGTAGAGCCATAACCTCCCCATCGGCCCTGCCCTGAGTGTGACAGTGGCGGCGCCCCAAGCCCCTGATCGGCCCTGCTCTGTGGGTGATAGAGGGGCGGCGCCCCAACCCCCTGACCCGCCCTGCTCTGTGTGTGACAGGGGGCGGTGCCTTAACTCCCCTATCGGCCCTACTCTGTGTGTGACAGGGGGGAGCTCCCCAACCCCTGATGGGCCCTGCTCTGTGCATGACAGGGGCAGCGCCCAACCCCTGATGGGCCTGCTCTGTGAGTGACAGGGAGCAGCGCCCAACCCCTGATGGCCCTGCTCTGTGCGTGACAGGGGGT